GGTTGGCTGAACCTTGTTCTTCATTTGGGGTGAATTTTTGCTTCAGGTTTTATGTGTCTGATTGTATATATGTTATGATTTTCATGTTTTTTTAATTGTTGAGATCAAAATTTTCCACAAAAAAAATGTTGTTTTAATGATTGATTTTTGGTAAGTTTTCAAAGTTGTTTGGTTGGGTTTAATGATGAACAAATGGTGGAACAAACAAACCAAATTCAAAGTTATTTTTTTCATGCTTGATCCATTTTGTTCTTGAATCTCATGCACATGTTTGTGATTTAATTTTGAAAATACCTTTGTTTGTAATTATTTGTCGATGTCATGCTTCAGTCACATGCATTCATTAATTGTATTTTTGTAATTTGCTTTTATTACATATCGATTTCCATAAAATCTCAAAATTTAAAACCCCAAACTTGAAACCTTAGAATTTGAAACCCCAAATTCTGATGAAACTCTAAACCATATGACTAAACCTTAAAACCCTAAACCTAGACCACAAACCCTAAACCCTAAATCAAAACCAAATTTCCTAAACCCTAAACCAAACCCCAAACCCTAACCGTAACCTTAAACCCTAAACCTAAAACCTAACTATAAGCCCTAAACCCTAATCTTAAACCCTAAATCTTAGACCAAACCCTAAATACCAAACCAAACCTTAAACCTTAACCTAGACCCCAAATTATCCCTATTCCTAAATCAAATCATAAACCCTAAACCCTAAATCCTAGACCCCAAACCAACCTAAACCCCAAACCACCCTAAATCCTAAACCAATCATGCATTTTGCATTTCATTTTATCTCGTCATCACATGCAACATTATATTGTCATGCATTCACGCATTATCATTCATGTTATATTGTCGTGCATTCATCATATTTTATTATGTTCATGCATGTCATGCATTTTTTTTTAAATTAGGTTTTAAAAGTAAAAATGTTTTAAAATAAGATAATATCTTAAGTAAATATAGTCTCGAGATCTGGCTTAACTATAGAGGGACTCTGAATGATTATTATTTATGAGAGCTATTATCTTGATTTTGTGGGTAATTTGAAAACCTTTAAATATGAAATATTTTAAAAGATCTATCTAATTATAGGAGAGTAAAAATGGTGTCGCAATATTTAAAGAATTTTCATCTTGATAAAAAATATGAATTCACGTGAAGGCTTAAGGGACCATTGTATGAATTTACAAGCCATAAAAATGGCATTGGCATATAGAAATATGAAGATGTGCCTAAACCCACCTACCACCCTATCGATCCACGGCTTGCGCATCCCGTCTCTCTGGCCGGCGTAGTGCCCGCCCGTCTGCTCGTTTCGTCGGTTGGCTTAGGCATACGGAGTTCATTCCCAGTCTAAGATTGGACTGAAAGGAGGTTTGTGGTAGCTGGATCGATAGCACGCAGAGGGGGACTCGGTCAATCCCTGGCTTGCGCATCCCGCCCTTCTGGCCGACTGAGCACCCGCGCACTCGTTTCGAGGGTTGACTTAGGCATACAGAGTTCATTCCCAGTCTAAGCATACGAAGTTCATTCCCAGTGTAAGATCGGGTCGGACCAAGGGTTGTGCCGTATTTTTCTTCGTCGGGGCACCATCGTCGGAGCATCGCCGGAGAACCTGACCGACAGCATTGTGGTTCTAACGATCGGGGGCCCGAGGGGTGTGCGCACATGATGTGCGATGGGTGCTGGTATTTGGCCTTTATAATGGGCCCCTATCCCTCATCAAACCTCGAGAACTCACACCCCCTTAAAGAGCATTTGAGATTTTACAGGTTTGCTGCCTGTAGCTATTAATGTGTCTGAAATGGGGACACTTTTTTCAAATGGTAACAAAATCTTGTACACTTCGTGTTTTTAGCTGAATTTTTTTATGCATGCCAACAAAAAAACAAGGATCACGTCTACCAAGTTTGGGGCCAAAACCCTTCCGAAAAAATTTTAAAAAATCCCGAACCGTAAAAAGTTTCGAAAATCTTGAAAAATAGAAAACAAGTCGTCTTGCCATGAAACTTCACATGAAGGCTTAAGGGAGCATTGCATGAATTTACAAGCCATAAAAAAGGAATCGGCACATAGAAATATGAAGATGTGCCTAAACCCACTACCACCCTATCGATCCACGGCTTGCGCATCTTGTCTCTCTGGCCGGTGTAGTGCCCGCCCGCCGCCCGCCCACCCACTTGTTTTATCGGTTGGCTTGGGTGTACGGAGTTCATTCCTATTCTAAGATTGGATCGGACCAAGGGTTACAGTAGCAGGATCAGCAGCACACAGAGGCGGACCTGGCCGATCCCTGGCTTGCGCATCCTGCCCTTCTAGCCGGCTGAGCGCCTGCACGCTTGTTTCGTGGGTTGACTTAGGCATACGGAGTTCATTCCCAGTCTAAGCATATGGAGTTCATTGCCTATCTAAGATTGGACTGGATCGAGGGTTGCGACAGCATATGCTGGGCTCGGGCATGTGTTGGTGCTGCATTTTTCTTCTTCGGGGCACTATCGTCGAAGCATCGTCGGAGAACCTGACCGGCGGCATTGGGGTTTCGACGATCGGGGGGTCGAGGGGGTGTGTGCACATGATGTGCGATGGGTGCTGGTACTTGGCCCTTATATTGGCCCCCTATCCCTCAACAAACCTCGAGAACTCACACCCCCTTAAAGAGCATTTGAGATTTTACAGGTTTGCTGCCAGTAGCCATTAAAGTGTCTGAAATGGGGACACTTTTTTCAAATGGTCACAAAATCTTGTACACTTTGAGTTTTTAACTGAATTTTTTGTGCATGCCAACAAAAATACAAAGATCACGTCTACCAAGTTTGGGGGCAAAACTCCTTCCGAAAAAATTTTAAAAAATCCCTAACCGCAAAAAGTTTTGAAAATCGTGAAAAATAGAAAATGAGTCATCTTGCCATGAAACTTCATGTGAAGTCTTAAGGGACCATTGTATGAATTTACAAGCCATAAAAATGGCATTGGCACCATCACCGGAGCATCGTCGGAGAACCTGACGGTGGCATTGGGGTTTCGGCGATCGGTGGGTCGAGGGGGTGTGTGCACATGATGTGCGATGGGTGCGGCAACTTGGCCCTTATATTGGCCCCCTATCCCTCATCAAACCTCGAGAACTCACACCCCCTTAAAGAGCATTTGAGATTTTATAGGTTTGCTGCCAGTAGCCATTAAAGTGTCTGAAATGGGGACACGTTTTTCAAATGGCCACAAAATCTTGTACACTTCGAGTTTTTAGCTGAATTTTTTTGTGCATGCCAACAAAAATACAAGAATCATGCCTACCAATATTGGGGCCAAAACTCTTCCGAAAAAATTTTAAAAAATCTCAAACCGCAAAAAGTTTTGAAAATCATGAAAAATAGAAAATGAGTCGTCTTGCCATGAAACTTCATGTGAAGGCTTAAGGGACCATTGTATGAATTTACAAGCCATAAAAATGGCATTGGCATGCAGAAATATGAAGATGTGCCTAAACCCACCTACCACCCTATCAATCCACGGCTTGCGCATCCCGTCTCTCTGGTCGACGTAGTGCCCGCCCGCGTGTCCGCCCACTCGTTTCGTCGATTGGCTTAGGCATACGAAGTTCATTCTCAGTCTAAGATCGGACCAGACCGAGGGTTGCAGCAGCAGGATCGGCAGCACGCAGAGGGGGACCCAACCAATCCCCAGCTTGCGCATCCTGCCCCTCTAGCCGGCTGAGCGCCCGTACACTCGTTTTGTGGGTTTACTTAGGCATACGGAGTTCATTCCCAATCTAAGCATACGGAGTTCATTCCCAGTCTAAGATCGGACCGAACCGAGGGTTACGGCAGCACATGCTGGGCTCGAGCATGTGCTGGTGCCGCATTTTTCTTCGTCGAGGCACCATCGCCGGAGCATCGCCGGAGAACCTGATCGGTGGCATTGGGGTTCCGACGATCGGGGGGTCGGGGTGGTGTGCGCACATGATGTGCGATGGGTGCTGGTACTTGGCCCTTATATTGGCCCCCTATCCCTCATCAAACCTCGAGAACTCACACCCCCTTAAAGAGCATTTGAGATTTTACAGGTTTGCCGCCAGTAGCCGTTAAAGTGTCTGAAATGGGGACACTTTTTTCAAATGGTCACAAAATCTTGTACACTTCGAGTTTTTAGCTGAATTTTTTTGTGCAAGCTTTCAAGATTCAACTATGTTCTTTTATGTTATCTTTTACTTTCAGCCAACATTCAAGTTTTCAACTTTCTTTTGTTTTCTAGTATAATAGGCCTACCTTTTAAGCTACCAAGTGACAGTTACTTTGGTACTTGATTTTGCTCCCCAACATAAAGTTAGAAAGAACTTCCTTTGGTACTTGATTTTGCTCCCCAACATAATTCTCAAGGGAAAGACCAACATTACTCCCACTCTTTTTACTTGATAATGACCTATGCATTTACCTGTGCACTTACATACTCATAAAAAGGAGCAACCATTACTACCATCCCTTCTCATATTTCTTAGATAAATCTTTTTTAGTATCCATTTTTCCTCATATGCCAAATTATTTGGCATTTTTCCAACTATGCTTATTTTGGATAACATTATAGTAAAATTATTAGAGAGTTGATATTAGAGTTGAGCAAAGTCTAAGGACACCGAATCTTCTTATACATGTAAATTGGATTATATAATAGGGCTGCTTATACATTTGGCATTCAAACTGTACTTAAATTATATGTCTAAAATTTCAAAATTTGCAATTTGGTTTTGACCTTTTACTTTCATCTATCAATTTGCAGCCAAAAGAAATATTAGTAGCCAAATAGATGGCGAGTCCACAACAATCAATAAAATTGCGAAACATAGCAAGTGATGGCATTTTTGAAACATGAGGCATGTTTTTATCAATTAGTTATATTTTGCCCCATCATTCATTTCATTTGACTAAAAGTCTTAAGTCTTCTTACGTGCAAATTGATGGACGGAAGATAAGATCAATACCTACTTGCAAAATTTTAAATTTAAAGTAACAATATTTCTGAAAATTTAACCTATCTCAAGTCTCGAAAGTGTAATTAACTCTGTAAAAAAGTTATTAAATGCATGAAATTTCATATCCTTATTGTTCAGTAGTCAATTAAAAATAAAGAAAGAATAACATATAAAACTGCAAGAAGTATTCAATGTTTTCACTAAACATATGTCTCCAATTTGTCTAGCATCACTAGCTAGTTAATTTCTATTTCTTACAAGACCATTTTATCACTAAACTTTGACTGCAAACACCATACGTACTGAATATGGACCACCAGACCATGTTAGAGACCCAAAATTATAGCCAGTGGAAGCTTCCCTGCCATCAAATGACACTTTGAAAGGAACCCTTCTTACATTCTCAACAAAAGTAATCTTTTTTGGCAAAACCTTCACTTTCAATCCCAATGGAGCATGCACAGCAACAGTATATGTGACATTTGCGAGTCCAACATTTGTAACACTTCTTTTAATAGTTCGGAAACCTCCATTTTTGTCTAGTCTACTTATAGAGATTGAAGGATAATTGATGCCGGAAATAAGATCATCAGAGGATTTTCTTGGACATTTGAAGTTTGCCATTGACATGGATCGGATTTTTTTCTCTGGGGACCCATTATAACAAAGAAATTTAAGATAATCTTCTGTTGTTGTTTCAAAGACTAACCCCGGATTAAGGGCTTTTAGTGGGTTTATTTCTCCAACTCCCATCTCGTGTGGGATGGCGAAGGAGCCTGAACTATTCGTTAACGGTTTCCCCATGTTACCATACACAGTTGCTGCATTTAGGGAAAGGCAGAAACAGATAATGTAAATACCTCTTCATGCATCCTACTTATATGGAAATGAAATTTGTATAGAGTAAATATTAAAAATTTTATAAAAAAATAAGCTTATTTTAGTTGGTTCATACGATCACTTTTAAGAGATAATATTTAACTAGTTTGGGATTCAAATCTCTCAATAACTCTGCAACCTTTTCCTATATTCTCAAGCTATGATCTCTTTTGCACCAAAAAACTTAATTGAGAAAAGCTTGTTTTGGCTAACCTTGACACACTTGTTTTCTAGCATTCTTGAGCTCAATTCTAACGTAGTTTGCCAAGAAAAATCTAGTCATGTATAATCTCTTTCTAAATTAGAATTACAATTTGTCATAGTGACAACAAATCCTTAAGTTAATTTGAACTCCTTTCTTTAAATCTTGCCAGTTCCACCAAATTATTATACTTTGACACAATTTTAAAAAGTTGTAATAGAGGAATGTACTATAAGTTCGTTGATTTCAATGTAATATAAGTTTGTTGATTTCATATATTAATTTAAGAGCTTAAAAATTTTAGCTTTACCAGTTGTCATGAGTGCTGATTTGATCATGGAAGAAGTCCATTTAGGATGAACTGATTTTATGAATGCAGAAGCCCCTGTTACATGTGGACAGGCCATTGACGTTCCAGATTTTATGGCATATTCGGGCGGCTTGTTACCAATCAAAGCACTCCCTTCTTCAACTTTTGGAATTACTGCAGCTAAAATGGCAACTCCGGGGGCCATTATATCAGGCTGAAGAGTGAAAAAGCATTAATCGTGTGTGTCCATATATATATGTATATATATATTTCATCAATGTGATAGAGAAGGACCTTGAGAATGTTTTCTGTTAGCACACTAGGACCTCTTGATGAAAAATATGCCACGACAGGTGCTGGTTTATGTCTTGGAATATCAGCTGTAGGAAGGATAGTTGCAGTTGGATTCCTGTCATAACAAAAATGGAAAACTTGGCATCAAAAAATGCCTTTTTTTTCTTTAAGCCATATTCAAGATATAACTATAAGCAATTAAGGATATTAATTATAGAAAGGCTTCCATAAGCATTTGCTCCAAGGATGGAAACAGAACAAGATGATGATCAAAAGGATATAATGCTACTTAAAATTTTGAGTTTTAAGGGAAAAGAAAATGTTTTCATTATGTAATTATGTCTATAACTCCCAAAAGGTTAAGGTTGAAAAGTTACAAATAGCTAAGCAAGAGATCATCATAAACTGAAAAATATAACAATAAATATAGAGGTTTTGGTGTGTTCAAGAGTAATAATATATGCTTACTTGTTAGAATTAATGTACTTAAGGATCTTATATCCTATAGTGCTTCCAACTTCAGTGAATGGAAATGCACCTGAATCAAAAGGAGCACTTTTTTCCATTTCATTGATCAAAATCAGTCCTTTTGCTTGAGCATCTTCCGCTACTAATTTCTTGATTTCCCTCGATACAAATGGGAAAGTGTCAACACAAACAATGACCTTGCCCTTCACCATTTCCGGATCTAAAGATCCAGGATAACAACTCCTGCAATTATTATAGAAATTAAGAACTCATCCTAAAAATAACTAGAAAACTTGCTTGACAATGCCATTCATTATCTTTATTCATTTTTTTTTTTTTTTAGTAAAAAGAAGGTTGCAATATGGAGATAGGAGAAACAATTACAAATGCTGAGATTCGAATCCAGATCTGTTGGATGCTAGCTCTTAAGAGTAGCTACATGAACAGCCAATAGACTTCAGGTTCCTTTTTCTCCATATTTTTATTGTACAGTACTCGCTTGTTATTTGGCGACATATTATTATAGTCTATTTTATTAAATAATGTTAAATAGAAGTACCTTGCTTCTGATATTGGGCTGAACTTATCAGCAATGTCCTTTCCATATGCAAGAGGATAGGTCTCGGAGTGGGTGAGGTTTGAGAAATTGATGGCAGATCCCTTTCAGCACAAGAATATGAAAATGAAGTTTCTGTATACAAAGAGGTTACTTTTCTTGACAAAACTAGATATCTTACTTGAAAGGTTCTTCCATTCCCTAGAAGCACTGTAGATTGGAAATCTCTATCAATAGTAGAGGCTGTGACAGTGAAAATCCATGGTGCTGCATTAATGATAGTGAAAGGGTCAGGCCCCTCATTTCCTCCTGAACATACAACCATGACCCCCATTTGCTCTGCATGAAATGCTCCAATAGCTATGGGATCTTTTAAGAAATCAGACTGGAATAGAGAGCTCATCCCAATAGAAATGGAGATAATATCAACACCATCCTTAACCGCGTCATCGATTGCCTTCAATGTGGTGGAACCAGGACAACCATCTTCCGAACATGCCTTATAAACTGCAATCCTAGCGTAGGGTGAACCACCCCTGGCAGTCCCTTGAGCCAAGCCATTGTAACTAGCATTGACGACTTGGGCACCAGCTGCAATGGAAGCAGTGTGGGTCCCATGCCATACAGTATCCCTTGGAGACTTGACAAGTCTCATCTGTGTGGTCTTTTTACCATTTGATGTGTGCGGGACATTGTAGTACCTTGCTCCTATCAACTTCCTACAATTACAAACAATTGATAATTTTATTATTAACAATTGCCTTCTATATTTCTTTATGATCTTAATCCAATTCTTTATCAGTTTGAAGTTTAATTTGTTAAATTGAATAGCAGAAAACAATTAGTTAACCTATTACAATCAGACTTTTTGAAGTCTGGTCCCTCCATGCATATTCCTTTCCATCTTGTAGGTATTTCTTCCATTCCTTCATCTCTAAAACTTGGAGATTCAGGCCAAATGCCTAAAAAAGAAGAGCAATTTCAACAATAAACCATTATTCTATTGACTTTAAAGTTTATTATTTAAAAGCAACATATAAGATAAAAATCAAATTAAATTAAACTTCATGTTATAAATAATGACTAGTGATGAAAAAAGTGTTCAAAAATTGAGCTATATGGCCAAGATTATAGGCTCAGCCCAATTTGGCTCAGACTTAATCTTAAATTTTTAAACCTAAGTTTCACAGGATATATTTTATCAATATAATATGTTTGATTTAATTTTAATTTCTAAATATTTTTAAAATATTAAAATATATATTATTAGAAATATTTTTAATAAAAAATTATGTAAATAGACAAGCTTTAAAAGTTTGCTTAACTTTTAAAAGTTTCAGCTTAATATGCCAATCCAAACCCAATCTAAGCTGGGCCAATGACACATATAGACGATGTGGGAGAATAAGACAATTAACATAACTCTCTTATCTTTAAAATGACTTCTTAGTGTACCATTTTGGTTGAGTTCTACATAATAATCTCTTTCCTTATGTAGATTGCAAGAATGGCAAACAATAAGAAACCCTGTATCTGTACCATGTTATAATACCAGAAAGAGTCCATTGTAATTGAAGATTCGAGGAAGTTAAAGCACATTCTAAAGTCAAATATTTAATAGAAAATTCTTTTTCCTTAAACCGAATATGGGTGTCAAATAAATTCTTGAACCACATCTTTTGTGTCCCTTTACTTTTTGCTTATATTATTTTGGTTTTCTTGTGGGATATTTTGCCTTGAATTTAGTAATCTAATTTCTAAACGATTAATGGTAAATTTGCCGTTGTAAATTTTGTTACATTTTGCCGTTATACTTTTCATTTTTGATGATTTTTTTTTTCAAAACTAATGGAAATGGACCAAGGTTTGAACTTATGATTGGAACATGAAACTTTTGTCGTCAAATCTTGAAACTGGAATGGTGTGTAGAAGAGGATCAATTATCATTGTATAACCCAAACTCATATTCATGTATCTATACACTTAATATTAGAAAAAGTGGTCTTAGTGGGCTGACTAGACAGATCTATGCCAAATATCAATTTTAAGATTATTTGTTGGGTTAATTGAATGACATTACTCACAAAATTTTTTCTTTTACTTTTAGTAATTTTTTAACTTTTCTTTAAAAACAGAAAAAAATAGGAAAATAAAAAAATAAAAAGAAAATTGTGGGTTTTTTTTTTTTAATTTGTCTTATTAATTTTTCCTTTAATATTTTTAGAAAATATTTTTCAAAAAGAAAGTTATAAAAAGGAAAAAAAAAAAAGGAGATAAATGAAGAGATTGAAGGAAAATTAAAGGTAGTTCGAAATAAGGAAAATATGAAAGAGGATCATTTGAGATAGTTTAGACATGTAAAACTTAGATCTATTTGTGCACTAATTAGGAAAAATGAACATTTAGATTTGGAGGAGATCAAAGCTTATAAAATTAGATTATGAAAGACATGATGAAAATAATAAAAAATGATGAGGGTTAAATAGATGAAAACATTATTTTTTATATAATTGAATGGTGCAAGAAAATTCAAAATTATAATCTAACATCATTTTTTATTTTGACCTTGCATACAATCAACCCTAGAATTATGGATATAAGGTTTAATTTGTTATTGCTGTTATCTATCTTTTAATTTTACCTTTAATTTTTTTTCTAAATAAAATTTTTCATTGAAAATTATAAAAACAAATAATATAAAATATCAATAATCAATAATCATTAATGAATTAATAATTAATAACAATAAATACAATTAAATTTATCCTCAATTATGGACAATCCAATTTTAATGCTCAATTGATCGTCAAGGAAGAAAAAATCAAAACATAAAGGTTTCATTTATAATTTATAATAAATTAAAATTAAAATCTTAAAAATCTATAATAATAATAATAAATCAAAATCATTTCATTAAAAATTATAATTTTTTACTGTTCTTATTTTTTTTCACAAAAAAGGTTTTATAATGTACAATAAAGTGAAAAGATCATAAAATTAATCAAATAATTAACAAAATCACAATACTCTTAACGTTGCATGAAAAGTTAATAAAAAAGAAATAATCACAACATATCAAATATTATATTCAATTTTTTTAATTTTTTATTTTATAATATTTCCTGTATATTAAATTTTTTTTATTATTTTTATATTAAAATAATAAATATATTAAAAATAAAAATTGATGGAAAACGATTAAGAAGAAGCGATGGCAGATATAGCAGTCCATAATATAATAAATATATTATGCATGTGTGTTAAGAACTAAGTTTGGTTGCCCACATCATCGATCCATACTTTTTTAAACTCCTGGCAGATAAAGCGATGGCAGTTCAAGAATTTAAAGACTTTTGGGTTTGGAGATTTAAGTTTTTAAAAGAGGTTTGAGATTTTTTCTTTTGCTGAAGAAAATGATTTTTTTTTTAATTTTGAATAAAATTTTAAAAATAAAATATGAAAATGGAGTAGCTGAAATATAAAGAACGAGATACGAGATGATCAAATTTCAAAGAATTTAGAGTGAATCTTCAAGAACTTGAAGAATCTGTTGAATAAATATTTTTTTAGTTATATTTTCTTTTCAATTAAATTTTTTATTTTTTATTTATTTTTATTAAAAAGAGATAAAGTATTTTCCATTTACGATTAAACTTTTTAGCAGCTATGGTAGCAAATTCCGTTGTTGTCATTAAAAGTAACGGCACGTGTTTTTTTAAAAACGCATTTCCGTTTAAAAAATCTTGATATGTTAAACTGTGTAAAATTAAAATACTAATTTAATAATAACTTTGATCTTGTGAGTAATAAATCAAACGTTTCATCTTAAATTAAAGATTAATTTAATATATGCTAACAAAATATTTGCTAAAGTTCAACCGAATTTACAATTCATGATTAAATAGAGAGCCACTCCTACGAAAATCTTTTTCTCTCATTACTTTTTGGCCATATGTGTGACATCCTAGAGATAAGAATCTTATCTAACATGCATTGAGGGATGGACCCTCCACTTTTTGGTTTTGTTCATTTGAGTTATCCTACATTATAGACAATTATCACATCAACTCTTTAACTACCAAAAAAAGTTGTCATTTTTATTTAAAAAAAAAAAAGTGCTAAATTTAGTGAAACGGCTTTTTCCCATGCATTGTGGTGGCTTTGGTTGATTTGATTAGAATCCTTTTCTGGATTGGTGTACGCAAATTTTGTATGTGGACAAGGAAGGCCTATCTTTTAAATATGAGATAAAGAAAAGCAACTATGTTTCAATAATCCAATCTAATAATGAACAAAGACAAGAAAAAAGTAAGATATTGTGATTAATTATAAAAATTTCTCCTTCTTAATCTTGTAATTATAAAAAAAAAATGCAACTTTTTTCTAGCACTTGGCGAGTTGTAGTAATTTATATAGAAATAATTTTTTTAATTTTTAATTTTTTATTACATCATATAATTAAAATTAAAAATGATTTAATAAAAGATTCAAAATTAATTAATCATATATTGTTATAATGATAGTAACTTATCATGGTTAAGAGTTTCAGATATTATACTAATTCATGAACTAAATGACCATCCTAATATAAAATAAAATAAAAAGAAGTTAAGGTACCTCCATCTATCATCCCAATTATGACATCATAACTTGATTTATGCTGGTATGATCTATGCCTAAACCTTGCGCTTGATTTTCCCTCTAGGAAATCCCAGGAGCGTGTTGTATGGAGTAGAAGAACCGAGTCCGGGAACACAGACACAATCCCATCACGCCCTGCTTTCACAATTCCATATGTTAATTGCCCGAAGTTGAAGTTTCATACACAACTTTACAACAAAAATGGTAATCTGTCTGCATAGTTAGATATAGTTCGATCACTCACCAAAAATTAAGATTTTTTTTTTTTTTTTACATAGATGTTATATACTGAATCATATAATGATGTTTTATAAAAAAAATTAATTTTAAAATTTTAAAAAACAAATACACTTAATCTAAAAGGTATATTTAAAATTAATATTTTATGATGTGTCGTGATTCACTGATAATACATCAAATTTAAATCCAAAAATTAAATGTTGTAGATTTTTTGGTAAATGTTTTTTTTTTGTTTTTTATTTTTATATTTTTCCTTTTTATTACTATTTTTTGCAAAAAAATAAAATAAAATAAAAAATTAAAAAAATAAAAGCATCTACCAGACAGCTATCAATTCATTAAAACAAGTTTGGATATCCTCCTATTAAAACTTTTCTTTTGAGGTAAAAATTTAAAATTCGAACTTCTTTATAGAAAACTTATAATAGCAGTGCAAATTTCCAATGTTTAAGAAAAAACAAACTAGTGATAAATAACAAAAATCAGAAGGTGACAGGTGTACATCGCAAATGGCCAAGGGAACTTACCAGACAGGTCGGAAGCTTCATCCTCTGTGAGCATTGCAGAGAATCCTCTGAAGGCATGATTGTAATGATTTATAAGTGATATTCTTTCCTTGTCCTCCCTGGCAAATCTCAATAACTACATATTTTAAAACTGCTACAAGTTGAAAAGTGAATGATTGATGAATTAGTGATAATAGACAGAATTACAACCTTGGAATAACTGAGGTCAGTAACTGCAGATGATCTGATTCTGCAGCTTCATTATTTTCTTCAGATGAACTTCCCATATATACAACATAATGCTGCCAACAGGGAAGACGAAAAAAAAATCAAATCGAATTGGAATCATTTCAATCTCCTCTGCATCACAGCTCTTGATGTTACAGCATTATGGTAGCCATGAAAATAGTAGACCAAGGAAAATTGAACTGTCGGCTACGAAACAAATACTAAGAATTTGATGAAATACGATTCAGAGACATACCTTTGGGGTTTGGTTTGATGAAGCTGAACAGATGAGAAGACATGTAAGGAAAAGCGAGCAGAGTTGCAGCAGAGAAGCCATTATGCTGATGATGGGTTGATTATGGTGGATTTGCAAGGCTGAATTCAATTTATAGGACTGGATCTGGCTAAGTTTGAGAGCTTTTCACACATGGTAACTTGAGCTGTGAGGAAAGCATCTTTGATTATTCTTGAGTTAAGATTGTTTTACATAAAGTGTTTGTTCCAGCTACATGTTTAATAAAGTCCCTCGGAAAAATAAAGAGTAAGAAAAAAAAAAAAAACTGTTGCAGCGAAACAAATGAAACAACTAAAGCAGGGTCATTTGATCCAAGTAAAAACAAAAGGCTTCTCTATATTATGATCCTATTCTGAGATATTTCTCTTTGGGGGTGGATTTTCTCGTTAGGGCCGGATCATTTAATCTTGCACTTATTTTTCATTAGTAAAACACCTGAATCTGAAACTCCTCTAAATCTGATGAAACATTCTCTCGAGGATTTCGAAAATTTGAAATCGTCTGGATTCTGTTCCCATTCATATCATCTATCAGCTGCTGTCTTTCTAGAAATAGCTTGAATTTGCTTGCCATTTGAGGAAATCTGTCGCTGCTTTGCAATCATATCCCTTGGTTCATTGGATAAGTCTGGATGAGACTTCTCCACGTACGGTTTTCCAGTAGTGGAGAACCTCAATTTGCTTGGAATAGGACCTGGTAAGGATAAGGGCCTAGGAGGAGTTGCCGTTAAATCGATAAATCTCAAAATAACATTAGATTGCGGAGCCAAATTCTCAATAATCTCTTCTTGATCTGAATTGAATTATTTGGTTTGTAATGCAATCATAAGTGAAAAACAAATTTAAAGTCTCAACTCATCCTACCCATTTTTTTTTTCACTTCGATTCAAAGAGAACCATACAACAATTACTCAACTTCACATACATTTTATTTTGTACTTTCTTATTGCTGGTTGATTTTTATTTTTTTTTCGAAAAATCTGATAGCGATCTGACTACTCAGATGATCAAAAGGATCTCAACCTTTATACTTCTAGCAAGAGCAGAAATAAGCGACACAATTAAAGAAGCTTTGATAAATTTTTATGTTAAAACTACTTATAAGTGCATGAAAGATAAAGATAGCATACTAAAAAGGTAAAGATAAAATGCTGAAAGGTTAAAAGAAAATGCTTGAAAAATTAAGATAAGTTTAATTGAATGTTGATTGCAGTTTCTGTAACCATTTGGATATTTTTGAAACTCATATTTATATATGAAAATATATATATATATATATATAATATTCAAAGTTACTAAGATAACTAATGCCGATTAACTCCCTTGCTTCGCATGTTCAATAATAGGTGAAAACTGCTCCACACGCTTCTCTCCACTTCATGTAACTGCAAGTCGAGTTTCAACTTTAATCGTTTGAGATTCCAGGCCGAAATATTCTCCGTGTGAAACTGATAACTGCTCAAAATGAAAGACTATAATATCTCCATAATTTTCTGTAGTACTAATCCCACTTATCTACGTTTCATGATGTCGGGGATTCCACCTTGCTGGATTCTCCTCAATCTCTTGGTTTTAACCTTACCTTTATATTTATGTGCTAAATTCCTTCCAAGCACAAGGCATGTAACAATCTTGGGCCTATAATCAGTTAATTAATCCTATAAATGATCACAATTAATTCTAATCATATTGTGTTAATAATAATCTAAGACTTTAGGCCCTATACGACTTGGGCTCTAATTAGTTAACCATTAATTAATTGATCTTAACCTAATAACTTATAATTACTCTATTTTGATTAAACTTAATCATTTGTTTTATGGAATAAATCTCTTGTTCCATTTTTTGGATAATTGTGGGTGTAAACAACTGCCCCAAAAATGTGATTTGACTTTAATCAAATCATATTTTACTTTTTCACCGAAAATTAAACCCTACCTAAAGTTTTCACTCACCATCTCATATCTTATATAGATGCTTATTTTAATATTGTTATTTGAAATCCGATAGAAGGTTTGTTTTTAGGGTTATTCAACCATTGTGGCACATAGGACTTACCTCTAGTAATGTACACAAAATCCATCTTACATGAATTCCATTAGATAATCAATGAAGTTTTAGTTCTAAGCAATCTTCATTTAGATCTTATATCTTAATAACAAAGCTTTCCAACTAAAAGGTTTCATAATCATATTATGAAACGTTAAGCTTAGTTTTACAATACACTATAAGAAAATGGAAGATTAGTGGCAGTTTTGTAGCGGTGTTTCACTTACAAACTCCTTTAGCTTCCGTGTTTTTATAAAACTTAAGGCTTTTATTATTAAAACATCACTAAATATTCAAATAGCGGTATTATTACTTATAAACGTCACCCAAGACTTGATATTAGTGGCGTTTATCGACTAAAACGCATTGAATTATCTTATCTTAAAATTTTGAGTAAATACCAACGGCGTGAATAATCCCGTTAAAAAAATTGATAGGGAATTACTGAAGGCATTTTTGACAGACAACACCTTCAATAATCCCCTCATAAAAAAAGGTATGCAATTATAGAAGGCATTTTCTATAAGAAATGTCTTTAATAATTCCACCAAAAAATTCCACAAGCTTATTAAAGGCATTTTTGATAAAAAAAAAACACCTTCAATAAATATCATATCATAATTTTAGGATCGTACAAATGTTAATCATAAAATGATAGGTTTGATCCCTCATTTTAGCATTTTTTTTTTGGGTTTTTACAGAGATTATTTGTAATTGATTATTCTAGGCGTTTTTTAGGCAAAAACGCCTTCACTAATTGCTTTAAAAAATTTTGGAAAGAATATTAAAGGCATTTTTTGACAGAGAAATGCCCTTAATAATCCAAAAGAAAAATATAAAACTGATTCTTGAAGATATTTTTGGTCGAATTCGCCTTCTATAATCCAATTAATAAATTTTTAGTTAGGATTATTAAAGGCAATTTTTGTCAAAAATGCCTTTAATAATCCATAGACAAAAGTTGAAACGGATTCTTGAAGGCATTTTTGGCTCAAAACACCTTTAATATTCCACACAATAAATTTGAATAGTCAAATTATTGAAGCCGATTTTTTTTCAAAAATGCCTTCAATAATATTTTGTTAGGAATTATTCAAGGCATTACCGATAGGGAAATACCCTTAATAATCCACTTAATTAATTTTTAGTTTGTATTATTGAAGGTGATTTTTCTGATAAAATGCATTTAATAATCCATACAAAAAAGTTAGAACGGATTCTTGAAGGCTTTTTTTGCCCAAAACACTTTTAATATTCCACACAATAAAATTTTAGGTGAGATTATTGAAGGTAATTTTGGTAAAAAACACTTTCAATGACATTTTGTTAGGAATTATTCAAAGTATTGTCTTGCTAAATATGCCCTCCATAATCTATTGGAAAATATATGGAATAGTTTCTTGAAGGCATTTTTGGGTGAAAGTGCCTTTAATAATCCAATCATTAAATTTTTAACAGAAATTATTAAAAGCAGTTTTTTTCAAAAATGCCTTCAATAATCTATACACAATATTTGGTATGGATTTTTGAAAGCATTTTTGTCCTAAAACGCCTTTAATATTCCACATAATATATTTTTATGTAGGATTATTGAAGACGGTTTTGGTTAAAAATGCCTTCAATAACATTTTGTTATGGATGATTCAAGACGTTTTCTTGCTAAAAACGCCTTCATTAATCCCATCAAAAAAATATTTTTGATATTGTATATATCAAGTTAGTTGTAGGTTTATACCTAGAAAACATTTGAAGTCAATTTTATATTTATACTCAAAAAATATTTGGTTTATATATGTGATACTACGAATTACATTTTGGAATTTATATAATGAACATTGTTATATTTCAATAAATTAACCCCACATCCAAAATTAAAACTGATAATGTTACCATATTAATATACGTTTCTGAAATAATCATACTCAATAATATGTTAAGTACACATAGTGTATTCATATTAAGTATACCAATAATATTAAACCAATACCCCAATGTACAAACTTAAAATTTCCATTCAACATGGCATGTTAAAAACATTATAACAATTTGTTCCTCATATATTTACATTTAACCAACAATGTCTAACCTCAAGGTTTATAACATTAATAAATGATAATACATACTCACACCATTCTTTATGGACTTCATCCAATTCCTCTTTCGTGAAGCTTTCTTTACTCTCCCACTAAAAAAAAATCATAAGTAAATGTTAATAAATGAAAACATAGTTTACCTTTTTATTTTTTTGAAGATATAACAAGTTTATAAAATTTATACTAACCTTGAATGGTGTGGTCATAAAATCATTTAACACTATCTCCCACATAAAACGAATGATATAATATCCACATTCAGTATTACTGGGTTGACAAGGTACCTGAAAATTAAATTAAGTAGGTTTAGGAAACATTTATTTATATAAACTCAACATAAAAGAATAAATGATCATTGGGACATCGAACCGTTCTTAAATTATTTAACACAATTAGTATGAACACATTGAATTTTAATTAAATGATCATTTAACAAATTTTACGAAATAGTTGAATAAACATATCACAACTGACTGTCATATATCATCTTTTAGATCATCAGGAACTCATCGTCAATTGGTGTACGTAATTGAAATCCTACGATGGACGACAGCTCCAATATGAATAGCCAACTTAGTAGCTCCTTCAAACACAGGCTGCCTACTTTGATTGAAGTTAACGTGAAGTTTTATGTCACTCACTTTAATTTTTTTATTTGGGCCCCTTCTCTTTCTTTTTTGGACTATAGGTGTGTTTTTTACATGTTCAATAGAAGAAAAATGATGTTGTTTGGAGTCCATAATACTTACAATTTTAATCATAATTATACAAATTACACAAAATGACTGTTTAAATTTAACACTGTACATAATTAAATACAATCAATACCATACTACATACAAAAACACCATTCAACAAACCAATCAGCAATGTGTTCGACACACCCTTCAGCAAACCATTCAGCATATGATTCAGCATACCATTCAGCATATGATTCAACATACCAATATCATACAATACCATTCAGTAAAACAATATCACACAATAAGGTTCAGCAAACCACATTATTAATAGAAAACTACACGAAAATTGCATACATGCAATGATAGGTGCTTGGACGACTATGCTTATGGTGAAATTAATAAAAATAGATATGCATATGTAAATAGTAAGGAACAAAAAAAAAATAGCTCTATCAAATAATATAAATAATACAGTAAAAAAAATATAAAGACATATCGATAAACAGAAAGGTGTGCGCCGTTGATTTATTGAAGGTCAGTGGCGATGATAGGGCTAAAGTAACCAAAAGTCTGATAGAAATGCATTTGTAGGTTTGGTTTGGTTTATTAATGCAGTTTTTAATCGTTCTATGTACTAACAATTGTGATTTCAATGTTCAAAACAAGGAATGAATATAAAATTTATTATTAAAGGTATTTTTCTATATAAAATGCCTTCAATAATCCCCTTAAAATTTTACTTGGAGATTATTGAAGGTGTTTTTTACTAAAAGATGCCTTTTGTAATCTAAAAATAATTTTCAAAGGAAATTATTAAAGGTATTTTTCCTCAAAAAATACCTTTGATAATTCCAAACAAAAATTATTGAAGGCATTTTTAATAGAAAACTGTCTTCAATAATTATGTACAAAAATTAAAAGGAATTAGTGAAGGCATTTTTCTAGAATAAACGCCTTCACTAACCATTTTAAAATTTGAGTAGTGAAATAATAAAGGCATTTTTCACTGGAAGACGCCTTTAATAATCTCAAAAATTTTAAAAGAAAATTATTAAAGGCGTTTGTTCTAAAAAAACACCTTCAATAATTACATACACAAATTAAAAGGAATTAGTGAAGGTATTTTTCTAGAATAAACGCCTTCATTAATCATCTTAAAATTTGAGTTGTTGAATATTGAAGGTGTTTTTCTATGGAAGACACCTTTTATAATCCTAAAAATTTTAAGAGAAAATTATTGAATGCATTTATTCTCAAAAAATGCCTTCAATAATTATGTACCTAAATTAAAA